CAATAATATTTATTTTTGATGATAGACGAACTTAGCCACCTGAGTGACCTCACCACATACTATAGTGAACTTACCATGAAACAATTTATCGAGCCCGATGCAGAATATGTACCTTTCCGGAATTTTTTCCGCTTTTTACGTGATTTGTTGATGACAGGGAAGGTAATCGTCTATTTGGCAGGCAGGACATCTCAAATCTCAGCCCGCATGTCTGATGCTCGCTCCAGTAGCATGAGCCTCGATATGTTGCGATTGAATCCTTTTAACCTCAACGATATTAATGAATATCTTGAGCTGGCAATTTATAGTGGAAAGACCTTGAAGGACTGGTTATTGCCCTCAGATGGCTTGCAACATCGATTCGCAGAATTATTAAAAAAGAAGACAGGAGGTATTCCGTTGATTTTAAAGAATACTTTAGTAGCCCTAGCAGAGAAGAGAAAGCTGCAAACTTGTCGCAACCTGTTATCAACGATGACAATATGGAAAGTGTGTTAGATGATATTTTTCACTCTGTAGTACGAAAGACAACAACGTTTATTGTTCCGGAGATATTAGATTCTGCAACCCTTCTTCGATATCAATTTGTTCTTTTCAATTATCAGCTCGGGACAGTTTTTCCAATCAACTTTGCAATTACTCTATGTGGAACGACAACTTATTTGATGGATTTGGTTGCAACTTTTGGGTTTTACTCTGAAGTTTTGGGCGAGGAATTCAAGATTGGTTGTTGTGAATTTATATTGCGAGCTCATAGCAACTATAAATTTTTCCGTGAGGCTACTGAACTTTTTCCTTTATCTCCGTTTAGTTATATTCCCGACACTTCAACATCAAAAGGAGTCTTCTTTGAATTTGTATTTATGAAGATCTTTCGTTTTCGCTTATTAACTTTTCTTCATTCTAATTCCTCGCCTATTGTACATTCTGCTATTCCAGGAATTTTCCAGGGTTCTTTTATTGAACAGGACAGTGTTTCTTATTCTATGGAATCAACAAAATCTAATGATATACCCATCTTGAGAAATGTCTCTGATTCATTTTCTGGTCATTATAGAGATTATTTACAACGTTGTGGTATTTTTGTTCCGAAAGAGGGCAATTCGAGTGGCCCTGATGCATATGTTGTATTCCTTAATGGACAAACACGTTATGTTGTTGCATTTTCATTTAAATTTTATCACAAAACTGAATTTTCGAAGGGAGATATTGAGAAGGAAGCAGAACAATTTTTCCAAGAAGTTATTTCCGTTTTGAATAACGGATCTCCTTCATCTGTTCAACTTTGTTTTCAGTTTGTGGTAGTTTGTGCTAGTTATGGTCGATCTGTAGGTTTCTCTGTTGAAGAACATAATATTGTTGAAGATGCAAGTTATTTGGTTACTGAACATTCTTCGAGGTCAACTTTGAATGAAAGTAGTCGATCATGTCTGCAATTGGTAATTGTTTCCCAAAGGAACCTTGAACGATTTTTTGGAATAGAAAATTTCGATATTTTGAGGAAAATTGACAAGGCAAGCCGAGAAGAGTTTAGTAAATACTTTTCAGTATGGTGTAAAACTCTCTTTGAGTCGATGTCCAATGAATATGTTTCATCTTTGGAAACGGAGCAATCAAATGTTACTTCAAGAGTGACTCGAAATATAAGACCGAGAACAAATGAGGAGAATAGGATGCAAATGGAAGAGCTTCAAACTGCTATGCAAGTGGAACGAAGTGTCGCAGCATCGAGTTCTTTGTCTTCGTCATTTGATTGGAATGCTTTCTTAAGAGACCGTTGTGGTCTTTCTGAAGAAGATGTTGCTTATTGTCTTCCGAAAGTGGAAGATATTGATATGGACGAGCTTCCAGCGGTGACCAAAGAAATTTTAAGGGACTTGGGTATAGATAAACCTTCGTTGAGGTTGAAGATAAGATCTTCTATAAGGTCATATCTCGCTAACGAACGATGAATGTATTTGAGAGTTTTGTCATTTTTTCAATATGTTTCATTCGTTGTATTTGCAATTCATAAATACAAAATTTTCTTTTATTCTATTATCGAACATTGGAGATGTTAACCTGCTTTACTCGATTTTGAGCAAATGCTTTCACAGGAGATATGGAGTCTTTTATGTTTAGTGAGTTTTATTCAAGAAAATATTCCACTAAAAGAGATATAAAAAGCTATTGGTATAATAACTGGTATAGATAGAATTTATCTTGATACCATAGTTATGCTGCGACAGGAGAAAGATAGCGTCGTAAGGAACTTCCGTCAACTCCCTAACGACGCTTAAGCCTTTCAACAAAGTTGAGTTTGACCGAAATTAGCTTTGCAAAGAAAATCTCAGTTCGATTGCAATTAGTTTTGATTTGTTCTCATGTTGTGTGCAGTGATCAGTCCAATTCGGATGCTTTGTAAGGTCAACTTGAAAGTGCGAGATGGTCACTTTTCAATTTCAACGCGGAGCAACTCTGTTAACTTGTCATACAAATAAAAGGCTCAAGGAGCACTCTTTCTTCAATTATCAACCGTTAGAAATTTTGAGCAATGAACTTTTTAAGATTGATCGATCACTGTTGTATTTTACTGTCCTTTAGTTCAGTTCACAGCTTGCGATATGTCTAGTGAGCTTGACGCAGAAAGCGTGTATTACATAGTTGTAGTAGACTGAGAACAAGATGTTCGTGTAGTAACAAAGCAGTTATTTAGGCTATACAACTTCGTAAACTTGGTTGCCCTTTCAAACCAGTCATACCTTTTGGCCCTCACCTCTTCGGAAGAAAGACAAGTTTTGTACAAAGTTCCTTGAAACTGTTGAATAACACGGGTGAAAGTGCACTTATAGGTCTATATCACGTTGGTGAGTCTGAGAAGACCAATCGAACGGGTTTTTGGAGAAGCTCAGAAACTCTTCGTTGCTTTATGTTGATCTAAGGAAGTTGGAGCCTAATCGACCCATCGAGGAAAAATGAAACCTGAAGTGGGCCTTGTGCTTTTTATTGTACCAATCGGCTTAGGATCAGATGGGTCTACCATTTATGAAGCCTGATGAAACCTACAGACACATTCCTCCCTATCCAAAGTTTCTAGTTCCGGAGCTACGGAAGACTTTGGACACTCCTTCCGATCAATATCTTTTGGTAGCATTTGATGAAGTTGGTGTTCTAGACGAAAGTCTCGACGAATTTCATTTCAAGAGAACTCATGACGGTAGAGTTCGACCATACAACGACTTTTTCGGTATTATTCGGAGTTTGTGTAAAGAACCGACTTGTTTTTTATTGTTGTTGGAAAAAGAAAGGGTTTAAGTATTAAGAGTTCTGTAGCTTTTGGGCTATCAAAAGTCATTCTACATTTTATTTCTTTATCACCTTTAGACGTTTCCAGTATCGTTGAATTCCTTGAAGAGAGTCTTCTAAAGACACCTACTCAAGTTCCAGTTTGTAATGTCTTATGTAGTTCTTCATTTTCAGTAAATGAATTGGCAGATTCGTTATTGGAATGTACAGGTGGAGTTCCTGGTTTGTTGACTCGTGCAGTGAATATGCTTTTGAATTATATAATAGCAAGAAACCAGCCTTTCATATCGAAAGAAGAATGTTTGACTTGTATGAACGACGATAATTTCCGAATAATTTGTGCTGAACCATTTGTGGAACGAATATTGAATTTGGACGAAGATAGAAAAAGTGTTTTTGATTTACTTTTGATGATGGCTCTTTATCGTATACTGTTTAAAGTAGATGACATATTGACCTCGGAGTCCTTTTTATATGATGTCGTAACTGAGATGGGACTATATCGATATCCTATTGACGAGAATACTTTCCAAGTCCTAATTCCGAAAGTATTTGTTGTAATCTTCAAGAACGACCCTTCCATATCTTCTTTGGAAAAGATACTTCTCGAATCACTTGATTTAGAACCAGTAGATTGTTTCTTCTATTCAAAGTGTCGTGTATTTGAAGGAATTGTTGCTTTACGACTAGTTTTGATGTTGTCTTCAAAGAATCGAAATGAGTTGAGGGAATTGTTGTGTCGATTGTCTCCGATATGGAAACAAATGAAACTTCCAATCAGTACAATATCACCTATTCACTATATCAAGTCTGTTGTTAGTTCTAGAGAAACAAGAAGTGAATCGAACAAGAGTCGAAGAACTTTTGCCAATACTGAATGGAATAAGATTATTCGAGAGACACTTTATTTAGAGACTATTTACATTCCTTTGGACGCTACTTCTCATAGTCCTGATATTATATTCCAATTACAATCTCCTGTGGAACCCAAAGTTCTTACTGTTGGAGTTGCTTGTAAAGGACGTTGGAAGTCGGAAGGAATTGGCTGGTCAGATATTATAGATGAAGCCAAGAAATTTTTAGATCCTTTATATGATCAAGTCTTATCCAGTGCAATGGATTATCATCATTGTATGCTTATTATCGTTAGTACAAAGTTATCATTGAATGTTTCTAATGAGTTGGGTAATCAGAGTCGTTGTTACTCCAGTGGAATGTTTATTGGAAATGATTCTTTCAAAGTACCTGATAATTGTGAACTTGTTATTCTTTGTGAAAG